CCCAATAACAAACGGCTGTGCAGTTGATGTATCGGGTTAAAATTTTTCGAATTTTTTCATGAAAAACAAAACAAAACACATCTTAAGTTATATCAGGTTTAGTTTATAAAGAATACACCAGGAATAAATTTGAAGAAGCACACATTTTAGGCAAGACAGCGGCGCACAGCAGGACTCAGACTCTGGCTATAGGCTCAAAGTATTAAAGTTTTTTTTTTTTTTTTAAATATGATGATTCTTCTTTCCTCCCCTTTTCTTCTTCCTTTCTGTCCTCTTCTTTTCACCCCCCCTCCCCTCTGCCTTCTCTCCACACCCTGCCACCGGACTGTCAAGACAAGAGATGTTGCAGCTGCACACCAGCATGCTGTTGATTTTGATTCTTGTGTTCCCGTCCTTTCTCTCTCTCGGTGATGCCATATCGGATTACATTGTAATTACCAACGCACTGGGAGTGTGCTCTCAACTACCCCTCCGCAGAACATGGGCAAAGCTATTTAGAGAGCACTGTTTCCAGGTCTGAATTTACATGGGTGTAAAATGTTTTTTAAGAACAGACTTGATCTTCCTCTGTCTTAAGATCTGATCTTAACCAAAATGAGGTGAAGATGGGATTTTGCTCCTTTTTTTTGTAAATATAACTTGTTTATTGAAAGGATGAGCGAGTCTGAGTGTGTAATTATTGTACTTTCCATGTTTCCTTAATGCAACACTAAGGCAACGCTTGGATGAGCCTTTTTATCCGCTTGTGTCAGGAGAGCTCAGCCAATTATGTGCCAATGTGCCTGCTGGTTGAGAATCACTGTGACTGTATGTACAATATACAATTATGGCTGACGCTATTATTCCCATTTTCAATTCATCTGCCAGTTATTTTTGTGATTAATCACTTGTTCTATAAATATCAGAAAGCAGTGAAAATCACTTTGTTTGTTTGGTCCAAAACCTAGAGATTTACATCGACGTAAAACAAAGAGAAGCTGCAACTCATCACAGTTTAGAGGTCTGAACTAGGTAATGTTTTGCATTTGAGCTTGAAAATGACTTGAACAATCATTTCAAACTAGGTTCTTATTATTTTTTTGTCAGTGGACTAATTGATTTTCTGACTAATTGTTTCAGCTTTATATCAAAGATACATAGTTTTACTCTCCACTTTATTGCAGTTCATAGTTTTTTTATGTACATGCGCCTTGACTGAATTCGTTAATTGCATTTGAACAATGTGCACATAAAGCTAAATTTATGCTTCTCCGAAGATGCACCTAAATGCCTCTGCATAGCAGGGTTTTATGGGTAATCGTAGATTGAGAGAGAAGAAGAAGAGCTCAAGTTTATTAGCTGAGTCACCTCCTGTTGGGAGTTGGGTTGAAAAGGGAGATCAAGACAAATGTAAAATTTATACAAGTATAAAAGAAACTGCCACACAAACGTATCTGAGTGACCTCCATTTGCCTACGTGCAGCAAAACAGACCTGAAATCTGAGATAAACCGCTTTAAGTTATATTGCGCAATCTTAAACTGTCAGTGTCCTTCATGAATCCAGCATAGGGAAACCTATAAAAACTACTGTGTGGACCTCTTGAGGTACTTTCCATACACATATTTACCGTAATAGCTCCTCAAGCTATATTAGCGTCAGAGGCTTGAAAGAGAGCTGGCAGTCAAAAGCTAATATTTGTGCCTCAAAAAGAAGTTAATGTTGTATTACGCAACCTGCAACCGTTTATACAGTCAGTGGGTTGATGGCGGCAAGGTTTTACTCATTATTTTCATATTGTTCTGCTGGCAGTTCTGGAGTTGCCACTTAATCTGCAAATGGCCACAGACTAAAAGGTTTACTATGACCCCAAACGTACGGTGTTTTGTGTAGCACAGACACATCAAATACGTCAAATTCAAGTCCTATTAAAAGCCTCCTATTAGAGACTCTCAACAGTTTATTGTTAGCTGGAATAATTGGGGCTGCTGAAGTGTTTGATTACAAATGGGCTTGAACAAATGCATCATTTCAAACAGATCAAGAGCAAGTATAAACATGTATACAATGTAAATGACCTGAAGGGCCAGTGTACAGTCTACAAGAAATTTTTCTCACTGATTCTATGTTTAACTCCTCATGGGTTTCTGTCTGTTTAACTTTAATAATTCTGCACTGAAGTAAACTAATCTTTATCAGTCTCCCTGTACCTCATCCAAACAGGTTTCTGATGCATACAATTCACACTTTACATTGGAAGACTGAGACGGTTTTACAGTTGGTTCTGTATTTATTGAGTTACAGCAGACTTAAAGTAGAAAATGAAAATGCAAGCGGTTTTCCATTCTAGCCAACCAAAAGTACAGTATCCCAGATACTCGTCTGAACATGAAACTAAAGCATCAGCAGCAGCAACAGACATTCAGTCAGGAAACAGCCATACACCTGCTGTTCAAACCACTTTAAAATGACGGTTCAACTGAACTGTTTTCGCTTGCATAAATATTGCAAGCACTCACAATTTGACCAATAAATCACAGATATCCCTTTAAATTAGTTTTGAAAATGAGTTGTTTAAAATGAAAATTGTTGAAGCACATGCAAGCGGTTCATGAAAATTTTGGCTGTTGTGATGATCCAAATGCTTTTTGCAGTTTTTCAGAAAATCGGCACAGGTTTGATCATTCATCTCTCGTGAACCACCGCTTCAGGTGTTCTGAACTGACTGTACATAAATCAACTAAACCCAATCCAGTTCTGATATAGAAGGACCTTCCTAAAGCCAGAGAGCGCAGAGCGAAGACAAATAAATGTGTTCACAGATCACAGCTGAGCAAAGTGGATATCTGACATGGCTCAAATAAAAGGAGCTTCAGATATTTTATCATGCGTAAAACACTTTCACCAAAATGTTCTTGGAAAGTTCAGTTAAGAATATTTCAAGTTTTTCAAAACAAAGACGTGAAAATGCTCATCATCGGTCTGTACTGTACCCGGTTCTGCGGCAGACAGCTAATGTCAGATAAGAGAGCTGAAAAGGCAGCATGGTGCGATCACACAGACATTCCACTCTCTTCTCTGTGAAATTTATCGTTTCTATATCAGGAAAAGGAACATTCTGTGCTGTAAAGCCTCTTAAACATGACTCGGGTACTGATGCAAGAGCCAGCTGATTAGAAAAGATACGGGATGTTGGGACGTACAGTCCATCCATCCATCCATCCAATGCGCTTTTTTCTTGGTCTGCCCATGTGGCTGTTCATTCTCTGGCCTCTCGGCGGTGAGGCTGTAGCTGTGTTCATATTGCCCAGAACACTGTCACGCCTTCTAAATGCCCCCCCTCTAGCACTTTTGAGTCAAGGTGACGCTGCAGGAGAAAAAAGGAAGGTGCCGTTCCCTAACAGTTTGAGATGAAGTGGCCTAGCATGAAGATATCTATCACTACCACGGGGATATATGCAAGTGCCATCAAAGACTACTCATAATGAGTAGTTCGCAGGTATGATTTATGAAAAAGAAATAGGACTGATTTTCAGCAAATAACAGACTATTATACACTTTGATCTTAAAACAACAACAACAAAAAAAACATTCCAGGTTTTGGGGCACCAATCACTTTTTTTTAAAAATGTAACAAAACCTGCCCTCCCAGTAAAACTGTACAAACCTTTTTTTTTTGTAATACAGAAAAATATTTACAAGGGTGCTTCTTCTTTAAAAAAAAAAAAAAGTGTAGTAGTAAGAACAATGCATCAAGTCCAGCTTTGGCACTCCTCTTAATGTCAGCATCTGCATCACACATCAGTGCTTCAACTGTGGAACTCCAAAGTCTCTGGCGCTTTGTGATGACATCACAGGCAGACAGTTACATCACTGGTTCCACGTTTGGTCATCTTGAGTCGTTGCATGGTGGTCGGTGACTCAGCAGTCAATGATTTACTCGACCTGGAACACAATCGGACAGAAACGGGGACTGGAATTAACGATTCCTCTTTACACAAAAAACACTGCTCTCCCTTCAAAAGAAATGCATTTCATTGTTTCCAGATTATAATTTAAAATGCTTGTTTGATTGCTATGGTCACTATGGAGACATTTAGAAATCATCAACTGACAAAAATATGTTATTATGCACTTGAAGTGTAAACAAAACTTGGGCTACAAAGGGAATATTATTATAAAAGAACTGGAAATTTAGCACCACTTGCACCCTTCGTTCTGCCTTCCTGTGACAGTATCTTCAATGCTGATGATGGTGTGGTCCAAATATCATCCTGCCACCCCACTATGCCATCTTTTTGAAGGGCCAATCAGAGGTAATTGCACCCTAATAACTTCCTGGGTAACTGGAGGCTGCAGCTGTGGCTTCTTAAAAGGAACAGTTCACCACCTATTTATCTATTTAGTCAAGTCACAAAATCCATTTCCATCCATCCATTCTCTACCGCCAATTATTCCCTTTCAGGGTCATAGAGGGCTGGAGCACATCCCAGCATGCACTGAGTGAAAGGCAGGGAAACGCTGCAGCCTACACAGCAGCAGCCATGTCCTACTTCTTTTCACCTATAATTATACCTTCATTGATTGGTATAGATGTCGTAAATTCTTCATTACAGACTTTAAAGCTGCGCTAATAAATATTTCATAAGTGCAGTTATTAGTTTCGGCCACAGCAGGCAACTTTGTTCAACCAAAAAGCTTTGATAAACCCACTGTATGCTTCCTGCCCAGCACCAAACTGCAGACAGATAAAGCTAGGGACCAGAGTGAAGTGACAAGATATTTTTCTCTGGACAAAGTCACAACTTTGAATGAATGCTACATTAATAAACAGGCAATAGATTGCTAACCAAACCAAGGTTTATAAGGTCTAAAAAGGCCATACTATGTTGATGAGTCATCTTTTTAGGGCTCTCTGTCTGACACTTTTTTCAGTTTCTCAAAACTTCCTGTAAAATATTATTCTACCAGTCCAACCTACCATCAACCAGTGACCCTCCCAGGTTGCTCCAAGGTCAGAACGTCGGTGTCTGTTGCCAACCTCTGTCTTTCCTCTCCTCCTTCACTCTCCTCCCCCACTGCCACAGTCACCTTTACCCACCTGGCAAGGAAACAGACAAAGTTTAAAACACAAATAGACTCCTTCTAGGAACTAAAAACAAAAATCAAAGAAATACTTTTTTTTTTGCACACTTCATGGTTCCGTGAAAAATACCATGAACCCTGCATGAAAACCTAGTTGATGCAACAAATGAGTGCAAAGAATGGAACATAATTCAGCACCCACAACTTGCGATGCCCATACGGGGCTGTATTTTTAGACCGTTTTCACAAAAAAAATCTTAAAATAACTCCTCAGATAGTACTTTAAAAAAATCTAATATTGGCAGCGAGCTGATTTTTCTTTGTCTTTATAACATGGATTTCACAGGAAATAAATATAGGATAAAAGATCCGCTTCCATCTCTCCACCCACCTCCCTTTGTCAGCAGCGCTAGAGCTGGTCTGGTCCGGTCTGGTCCGGCTCAGGTCCGACACACTGTGGGCTAATCTGTCAGTCAACCACTGGACTTTGTCTTGGTCGGACAGCTTGGAGTGCTCTGCAGCTGCTGTGTTCTCACCAGCCTCCTCCACTGCACCAACGGCTGTAGATTTAAAAACAACAACAGAGAAAACACCAAGTCAAACAAGAGTGTAGAACACTTTGCAAAATGATATTAAGAGGAGAAAAAAATGAAATTCACCTTTCATAGTCTTGACTTCCAAGGAAACACTCTGGTTTTTTTCAGAACTCTGGCCGTTCTGTTCCTGGCCTGCTTTCTGCTGCTCTACAAGGTTTGGGTTTTGGAAACTTTCCATCCAGTCCAGAGTTTCACCATTCTTCAGTGCTGAGCGGTGGTCCTTGAACCAGCGGACAATGTCTGTACGTCCAAGGCTTGTTTGGACCTCCAGCTGGCTGTACTCCTCAGGAGATGGCCACTGAGTCCGACAGAACATCTGTCAAGACAAATCATGTGACCAACACAAAACGTTACACCATACAAAATATATTTGTCACTGTTGCATAGCAAAAACTAAACGCTTTACTGGGCCTGTGTGATAAACAACGCTAGCTTAGCTATTGAGGAAAGAAATAGATAGTTTGTGTGTACAATTTATAAAATACTAACTACAACAGCCAAATTTACACTCACTTTTTTCTGAATTAAGAGTACCTTTACATTTGATACTTTAAGTGCATTTTGCTAATAATACTTACATACTTTAACTCAGGTGACATTTTTAATGAAATACTTTTACTTGTTATGTAGTATTTTTATATTTCAGTACATTTACTTAAACCTACTTATAAAGGGGTTTTAACTGGCTATAAAACAATTTAACACTGATGCCTCTATATGACCTACATAAATAAACAAGACTATCACTGAGAACATTGGCTATTTCTATGTCATTCTTTCCTTTTTCTTTTTATTCCCCTTGAAATCAATGAAACGAGGCAGTTGAAACACAACCACTTTTGTCCACAAGCGCTGCCAGAATCAACAAAGAGTGAAAGTTCCTTGTTGCTGCTTTAAGTAAAGGATCTAAATACTTCCTCCACCACTGAACAACTAAACTAAAATGGTAAACATTGCACTTGCGAGACATTAGCATGTAAGCTTTGTCATTGTGAGCACGTTAGCACGCTGTTGTTAGCATTTAGCACCACTATGCCTAAATGCAGCGTCACAGAGCTGCTAGCATGGGTGTAGACTATAAGTGTTGTTTAAAAAAGTGCTTCATGACATTTATTAATTGATGGAAACACAACGTAATTACAAAAGTTACAAACAGTGCCTCTTTTCCTTTTATTTGCTTTGCTGCATTGGGTCAATTTTGGCAAATTGTCTCTAGCAGTAAAACACAGAACCAGCTCACAGGAGAGTAGTTGACATGGTTTTCATTTTTAAAGTAAGTTTAGAATTATGTTTAAAATCCTCTATGCACTACATGGGTTTGGGTAATACCATAAATACATTAGCTACTGTAGATAAGCTTAATATTTGGCTGATGGATTTAAAACTCTGCCAACATTAGTTAGCCAACATATATGGGTCATCATTAACTGACAGCCTGTGGCCCGAGCGTCCTGTTACTGGGAATATCTCATGGATATATGTTCCATTTACAGGCTTTGTAATCCCATAGGGGTACTGCTGTTTTTTTTAGACACAACACTTCTCCAACAGCTTCTCTTTAGTTTGTCAGATCTGACCTTGAAGTCTCCTGCTGTCATATCTCACTTCTAATATCAAAGTATCAGCAAATCTCATCATGTAGTGTCAATCACACAGCTTTTCCTCAAGAACCGGTACAATACCTTCTCAAGATGAATCAATTTCACACATCTCACTTCAGATTGTATTAAAAAGTGTGATCTCATTAACTAAGCTCTTTAAAGTCACAACTCATTAATGTCTTGAGCAGCCCAGCAGCAATTTATATCAGTATAGCTTGCATTTAAGTTCTAACTTGTGTCATTTTTCAATACGTTGTCATCTAATCAGTGTTGGTGTTGACATGTTTTCATCTGCTTTTCGTACCTCTCTGAGCAGGGCGAGGGAGCGGCTGGAGATGGGAGCCGGGCTCGTGGAGGCTGACAGGATGGGAGGGTGGGGAGAAGAGGAGGATGATGAAGTGAGGATGGGAGGTGATGCAGAGGAGGAGAGGGTTGGTGGATGAGGGGAGGAGGCTGCAAGGACAGGAGGGGAGGATGAGGAGGAGGAAGAGGAGAGGACAGGGGGGTGAGGAGAGGAGCGAAGAGATTTCCCGCCCTGCTCCCGGTGATGAGATGCCCCGTTCAGCAGCGCCCCCGGCCGCTCTACTCTGTCCTCTGTGTTCTTTGAAGCCATGGTGAGCAAAGCCTTCTCCATGTTGTCCCTCAGCCCCCTGCGCTCTGAAAACCAGCAGTCCACCTCCGTCTTGGACAGCCTGGTCTCCTGGGCCAGCTGGTCTGCAGCAGAACAGAGTTCAGTGGATCAGATGAGCTGTTTTACCTTGAAGTGGAAGGTTTTTTTGGGAACCTGGGAATTTAGTCTCTCTCCAGGGGACTTAAAAATGGGCTCATTAAAAACATTTCTGCTATTCCTGTCATGCAAGCACCCACCAGAGATGGGTCTGCAGCTCCTTTGGGGTGAAAGAAAATGAAGTCACATGCTGTGAACCAGTATAAATAGACCAAAACACTCCTGGACTTCTTTAAGTAATTCTAACATCCAAGTTAGAGATTGGGTAAATTAAACTTGACAAGAACACCACCCCACTGCTAATTTGACCAACTGATTCTCACCCAATGTACCCTACATTAGTCTCAAAGTTTTAATAAGTAGTTGAAAAGTTCTGCCATAAATTTTCTCAGGAACTATGCAACGTAAATGGATCCTAAAAATAAACAGAGCTGGAAGCCGATTTTGTGCTTCCAACCTAGCTACCTACCTGCAGGAGGGCTGTTTTGTGTTTCTGTAGACAAATGTAACATGCTCACATCAAGCATTTGAATTTAGGACTCGGGCTGCGACCACCGGGAAATAAGTAAGTAAAATAAAAGTTTAACTGCGCTGCAACATGTCTTCTTCCTCTTCACTGTTCACAGTCCACTCTCGGTGTAACAATAAGCTAAACACGTTTGAGCGGAGGGGGATTGATGCATTTTCCCTTCTTTTCCACCTTTCTTTCCTCTTGTACGTTATACACTATGAACCAAAGAAGGAATGAGTTAACACCTAATCGGCTGGTGGAAGAATTTACCAAGATCTGCCTCTGTTGGAGAGCTGCTTCTCTGGAAACTCTCCTCCAGCGCCTTCAGCTGCTCTGATGATTTCCCCTTCACCCTCTCCAGCAGGGGAAACTGGCTGGGGACCGCTTTCTTTACAGGCCCATCTTTGGGTGTTGGCGTCACTTCTGCTTTCACCAACACTGGAGGTGGTGGAACGCCTTCAATAAAGACACACAGAGACAGATATAGAAATATAGAAATATGCGAGCGAATTTTCCAAGATAACACAGGGAACATATCAAATATATATTAAATGAGAGAGCACAAACAGTACTTTTTTTGTTTTTAAATGTTTAGGAATTAAAACCCACCTCTGAGAGTCAACACTAACTTGTTTAAACTCTACAGAAAGATGTATGATTAATCACAGTCAGGTTGTTTCATCGTTTTATCTGTGCGGCACTGATCATACCACATACCTTTGAGATTAAGAAGCCTCTGTTCACTGAACCACTTCTTTATCTCTCCTCTGGACAGCCCTGTGGTCTCTATCAGCCTGTAGATCTATCACATGACAAGATAAAAACATAAAATCAAACAATAAGTGTGGGTGTTTATCAGTGACAGTACTTTTAAACAAAGCCAGTAGCACTAAATTAGCAAAAGCTAAAAGCAGCTACAAAAATCTCAAAGCCAAAAATCCTTATGGCACAAAAAATGTCATTTCACTCACTTATTCTTACCTCATCTTCCTCAGGGAAAGGACACTGTGTGTAGCTAGACCTCAGTACTGATAGCTGCTCCGCTGTTTTATTGGGGTCAACAGTGAAACTCAGCACTTTGGGCGACACCAGCTTGGATGTGACCATGGGCGCCGAGATGGTTTGAATGATGGAGGGTCGTTTACTCTCTGTGGTGATCGCAGGGGAGGCCAGGGGTCGTTTGAGCGACTGTGCCACCTGTGGTGAACATGGTGGAAGGTTTGACTACCTCAAATCATATGTCTGTCAAGTCAAACCGAGCATGGTCCATGTATATATTTTTCTATGTTTCTTTAATAATTTATAGGATTTTTTAATTCAATAAATTCATACAATCCTTTTCTTTTTTTGTTAAATTCACAGTTTTACATCAGTTTTCACTTGAGGAGATGTGAAATGTGTTCAGTTTAGTTTATACTAGATGGGAGGAGATTTTCAATGCCGTGGCCCACGATTACATAAATACTGAACTTGCTTGCGTTCCTGGGTCTATAAAAGTTAACATTTCTGCCTTGATGTTTTGTACCTGGTTAGCCACGGTGAGTGCCAGCGGTGCACAAGTGACGGTGGAGCCGTTGGCTACAGGAGTCAGCACCAGGCTGGTCTGTCCCAGGAGCTGACAGGGGAGGGACTGCAGGACAGAGGCTCCCGGCTGCATGGATTTGGAGGCTTGGTTTGACGGGTTGGTGAATGATTGGGAGTTGAGGTGAGGAGTTACGACGGTGAAGGTCTGAGGCACGGAGGAGATTGTACCATTGAACATTTTCTTCCTGGCTTCTTCCACCTGTCATGGAAGGAAAGTACTTGTTAAAAAAAAAATGTTAAACTCATATCTCTTATCTGTATGTATGAGTGCCAAGCTGAAAAGTTTTGGATTAAATTATACCATTATCATAGTTATTATCTGCAGCCATTAGAGTGGCAGAATTATTTTACTCCTGCCTCGTTTTAACAACTTAACTATTTTCAATTATACTAGAAAATAAAAGCCTGGTGAAATGGTGTGTTTCAAAATGGAGAATGTGGTATAATTTGTTTAATTAACACATTGCAAAATAAAAATGTACACTGTAATCTGGCAGGTCTTTAAAACTGTTAGTTAGCTGTTTGTTAATTAAAATATTTGCTTTAGAATGATATAACATGGGCCAAGGCTAATTATTGTCATTATTTGGAATCTGAATGAATAATAATTAAGACCATTTCAAACATGAGGTACTAATACAGTTTCTATCACCATTATTAATTTTATTCTATCTGAGCTTCTGAATTTTGAAAAAGACCTGGTAAAATACACTAAACCACACTTGAGGGACTTTGGTGCAATAAAAATGTTTTTATTGCCGTAATTCCTACCTCCTCAGGAGACCAGCTAATGCCCTGTTTGAGCCTCTGTGTGGTGAACCAGACTTTGATTTGCTCCTCTGGATGTTTTGAGGCTGCGGTGAGCCAGGAGAGCTCAGCCTGTGTCGGGTAGGGGAACTTGTTGAAGGATGAGATGAGTGTCAGGTTGTCGTCCAGCGAAGGGTTGTATTTGGTTGTGTTGAGGGGCACTGCGATCTTCGGCACCTGAAATAATACGGTAGGCAATGGCGACTGAATGACTTTCACATGATATTTAGCATGGTGGATATTAAAAACAGAAGAAACCAAATGGGAACACATTTTCTTATAATTTCCTAATAATGACACTGGAAAATCCTGAAACTATGTAATTTGGTACCAATTATGGAGAAAATGGGAAAAATGTTTTAATTAAGTTTATTATTAGCAACTTTATTCTCCACATATATTCAACTGTATGCTTGCCTTGCAGGACAATCTGACATTTTTGCATGTTTAGCCGATCTGCTGTGCAAGGACTAATAGACTCTCTAGGTTACACTAGCAATTAATTGGAATTAATTGATTGAAGTGCACCAAGTGAGCCTTATCTCCTTTTTCCTTATAATTATCACTGGATCACATAGTCCTTTCCAGGAAACGTTCATGGAAATTATTATGAAAGACAGATAAAATAAAGCACTACCAGCAAAACATTAAAATGTTAATTTGACATATCTCCAACTTTTCCTCTCTTATAAGCTAATTTTCAAAGCATTGCCAGAATTTAAAAGGAACGCTGACATTTGGGGTATTTGCTTTTGTTGTTGGAAGAGAAAAAGATCCAGTCTCATGTGTGCAGGCTAAAAATGGAGCTACGCCAAGAGACAGTTAGCTTAGCATAAAGTCTGGAAGCAGGTGGAAACACCTAGCCTTTCTCTGTCCAAAGATTAAAAAACCCTGCCTACTACCCTCATCTGAAGCTCATTAATGAACATGTTATATCTTGTTTAAAAACAGGAATATAACATGTCAGTTTGTGAGCTTTACAGGTCCTGGTAGGGTTCTTGTTTTTTTCAGACCTTTAAGCTAAGCTATTTTAGCATAAATAGTTTAACATTTTGTGAAATACGTGTACTAATTAAAAAAAACATGATTTAATGTGTTATTGAAGGGTGATTTTGTTACCTTTGAAGAGATCCAGGCTAACTGTTTGCCTGCATCCTTTATGCAAAGGTAAGCTGACTGCCCGCCGACTGTAGCTTTATATTTAATGCACAGACACGAGAGTGGTCTCAATTTTCTCATCTCTTGGCAAAAAACCAAGAAAAGTATATTTTCCAAACTGTCAAACTATTGCCTTAAGTGTACAGGAATAGTCCTACCTGGGTGTAGTTTAGAGGCCGCTGTAGGGAAGGCATGATGTGAGAAAGGCCGTCTGCTTTGAGTAGAGTCGACTCAGGGATAATGACTGTCCCGTTTACGTTGAGCGCTGTGATTGGTTTCTTGCCCAGATCTGGGGTCAGTTTGCCCAACTGAGACTCTGTCCGTTTATTATCCGACGACATTATTTTTGGTTTACCGATCTTGACTGTGGTGGGTTTGCTGAGGGGAACAGTGCCTAGTTCGTCACTTTTGCCAGAAATGGCACTGGAAGTGTTGTAAATGACCGCACTGTTACTGAACCCCTCTATTGTCTGTTCTAAGATTGTCTGATTGTTCATTTTGATGCGTTTGAATTTGAAGTTGCTCTCCCCTGGGTGACACCTCTCATTATGTTCCGTCAGGGTATCGAACTTCTTTGTGTTGAAGTTACAGACGGCACACAGGTACAGGGGGTTGAGGATGACGTTAGGGTGGTTGGCGTCGACGTGTTCTTTGAAAGTGTTGAGGTTCTGTGTGGAGAAGGGGCAGTATTTACATTCGTAGCCCCCCTGCTGCCGACGCTGAGGCTTGGAAGGGTCTGGTGGCTCGGTTGCTGGTTTGTCAGGAGCCGTGGGAGGGTTTAACTCCACGGAAGGCTCTGCCTCTGTTGAGGGATCTGTTTCCATAGGTGCCTCCTCAGTATGGTTTTCCGCTGTTGTCTGATAGAGGAAGAAGGCGGTATTCAGATTAAAGGGAAATGGCATTTACAACCCAGTTGTGTTTGCATCGTCTCATGGATTTATGAATTTAGTCTTTCTGGAATCAGTACACAAGCAATGAAATACACAGAAAACAGAAAAACAAGAAAATGCATTCGGATTAATAAAAATGACAAAACAAAGTGCAGTGTAATACACAAGACGATGATTTTAATGATTTTAAATCACAAGTTAAAAGTAAGTAAGTTAAGTTCAAACATTAATTCATGAATTGGACCAAAAAGGGTTTTATATATCAATGGGGGTCTGTATTTGAAAAAAAACCTCTGAAAACAAGCTATGAAATAAATTAAATAGTTCATTTCCCTCAAATGGAACTATAAAAACCTTTTATCTATGTGCTTTTGCCAGGCATTTTAAAAGTGTACCTCCATGTCGTGTGATTCCTCTGCCTCATCATCCAGCTCCACCATGGTCTGGTCGGCTCGGATCATACAGGGAGTGGAGGCCTTCCGTCGACTGGACATGATGATGGTAGATCCTGGGTTCGTCTGGCTGGACAGTTGCCCTCACTTTGCGCCTGTGCTTGGCCAGTGGTGATATAAAAGGAGGCTGAGGTGCCCAGGATGCAGGATACAGGACTACTGTCACAGAGTGGTGGCTGGATAGACAGTCTAAATAGCCAGGAGGACTGGCTTGTACTAGGACCCTGATGCAGGCCTGGGTTCTCTCTTATTTTAAGAAAGGCACGGAGCGCAGGACAGTCTCTGGGATGGGAGCGAGCAGCCAAGGAGTCTGGAGAACAGTCTTTCCCTGGGGTGGGATTAGTGGCTGGAGAGAGAGGAGGGCAGTGGAAGGTGAAGGTCTGGTAGAGATGGGCTGTTGTAGTGTAGTGGAGGCTGGGCTCGCTGACAGTGTCAGCTCCAGTGCTGGCCGACCTCCTGGAACTGCATGACAGGATGCTGCCTGGATGGAAAAAGAAGAAAAGAGCCAGAGTAGGAAAACTGATTATTATAAACATTAGACAACTTCATTTTACCCATGTTCTTTATTTTCTCTATTTCTGCTATTTATGGCTCAAATGCATTTAAGACACAGATCCCACCTGGATCGACATGGTCACTCAATACAAGTCACAATAATAAAAGATAGTGGAATTAGTTTGTATCAGTGTCTGTACATTAATCAATATAATAGCTATTATCCTTAATCGCCACATAAAATCAACTTCATGTGGAGAAACTGGTTAATACAACAACTGAGACACTGGATTACACGCAAAGGGAGAATAAATAAAAATGAAACGTGGGTAAGAAAATACTATAGATAACCTTTCCAAGGGCACCAAACTGACTGGTTTGAGCGTGGCAAGAAATATGCAACATGCTGGGTTATTTAAGCGCAGCAGTGTCCCTTGCGGACCTGCAGCGAGCCGCCACCTGAAAGAGGTAGAGTCAACAGTCAGCCAGAGGGCTAAAGTGGCTCAAAATGAAAAAGGTCAAAGGAAAATGACAAACAAACAGTGCAGCAGAGCAGACGGTCTACAGGTGGTCGACTGCCAGACGAGTACAACGCTGAAAATAAAACTTACAGGCTAAGTTCAGATTTAAACTAACCCTTTAAAACACCAAAGTCACACAATAACAAACTAAGCGACTACAGCTTCACTTCCCAGTCGGAATGGGCTGTCTGATGGCAAAGTAAAGTGGTGGAAATATTCTAAATATAGCGTACACTTAACCTGATATTGATTTGTTAGGTGGCTAAAACATATTTGGTTGCTGCCCCCGTCTACAGCAGTACATTGCTTAGCTTCCGTGCTAGCGTCTGTTGCTTGGGACCTTCTACTGTGGGTGATACACTGACTATTGGTAAGTACCTCATACAACCCCCACGGGCAAAAACTATGGTGGCTGCGAAACGCGCGAAAAAGGAAATGGCCAGTGTATGGTTTGTCCATTGTGGGCTACTGTAGAGACAGAAGAGTTGAGGTGGCAGCTGTATTTTGCAGCATCACCTTGACTGAAAATGAAAACAAACTTCACAACCAGCTTTTCTGTTAGACTAGTTTTACAAAGGACTCCCCTTGCGTCTATTTACGTAGACACTTTTATCATCAGTTTGATAACAGTGGTTTGATAACACAGCGATCACATGCAAATATATGCAGTTGACAAGTCTGTGGCTGTCAGTAAGACCTGAGAAATATTGACTAATCATGAATCACGTCGTGCTGTGGAGTGTGAACAGAGTGAGAAACTGGAGACAAAGCAGCTTCGGATACGTATCTTAAAAAGCCGAGAGCAGCTTTATTTGGGTTCTGTGAAATGACACCTCCATCAAGAAAAAGCAGTTACCGAGAAGCTGAGTGAGTGTGAGCGGAGGAACTTTCCTAGGGTAATATTATAATGAGAGTAGAGAGGGAGAAGCTTATCGGAGTGAAAAAGTCTATTGATATTCTGGAGGCCTCATGCAGAAGCTTCGTACTCATATTCACATGAGTAAAAATCAAATGAGTCGATGCGGCAGCGGGGCTCTTCTATCAGGACGTAATGAGGTTCCATAAAACCAAGTCAGCACAGAGGACAAGGGAAAGTGTAAATTAAAATCTCCTGTACACAACACTACTCAAATATGTGATGAATATGAGTAAATGTTGACGTAAGAAATGGGTTTAACCTCACCAAACAAAGCACCTGTTTACAAGTATACATATAAGCCTGTGTAGTTAGATTGCAAAAGGACAGGGCAGCGACAAATAGGAGAAAACAAAGACCTCAGAGTCAGCTCAGCAGGTTAGGCCTGTACTCTGTAATCACGCTTTAGTGTAACATATTTAATTTGGGCCCTTTACGCGTGAATCACATGGCACTGCACCCTTCAAGGCTTGGAAGCTGTCATTCGCTAGTCGACTCATTGTCCCGAGATATCTCAACTCCTCAAACAACCCACTGAGGCATCATTAGGATGCAGACTCATTACCATGGTGTCGCTATAGCAACCATGGACGTAGAGCTGTAGTCAAGTAGCTGCTGCATCCATGTCACTGACAGAGACTGTGAATATGGCGATGACCGGGCTGCATGAGGGACTGCGTTTGACGTCTTTAGAGCCAGAATCACCCCCCCCCACGGAGATCCTCGGGGGAAACACAAATCTTACAGAAATAACTGATAAGGCCATGTGTCTTGAAAGCATTGGAAAATCCCATTCCTGTAGGACGCAGAGAGGTGTGGCGCATCTGTGAGGTTTCTTCGGCTTCACTCACTGAAAGGCAATGTGGAAGATCAAGGAACAGTCACAAGTGGAAGAAAAGACTTCCCAGACTAATCAGAGCTAGTCATAAACAGCTCATAGAGAATATTTCTCAGGCAGCAGATAAAGGTTAGAAGCTTCCTGATTTTCCTGCTAACCCTGATTTGGGAGCTGAACGAACACTGCAGTGTCCATATTTAGTCTTCCGCACACTATCACTCTGTCCCTCAAAGTATGCCCGAAACCCAGCAATGTGGCCAACATCTGGTGATAAGGAGCTGGAGATGCATCTGTCAGCTGCGTGTGAAGTGCCACTCAATGCGACCTGCCGAACTTCTGCTGCCTCGCTGCTGTCACGTGACTGGATGCTCAGGCTGGACGAGGATCAGAACGGAACGGAAGAGAGAAAGCGCCGAGCTGTAGCTGGACCGTGTTACCTCCCACTGGTGTGTTGAACCCACACAGGCAGAGGGAGAGAGGATGAGCACTTCCATTTACGCAACATCTATATTAGTAATCTGTAAACATTACTTCTATATAGCTTAATAATGCCAGTGGCTCCTCACACATTGGCTACAAGTCACCGGATGACATCAGACGCTGGTTTGCATGTTAAGTGCCTATTGAGTCATTTAAGTGTTCACAACATGAGCAGAGGCTGACTCAGAAAAAGGAACATTATCTTACACAATATAAACACAAACAGCTCCGCAGTTTGAGATGTTGCAGGCGAGTTAAACTTGTGTGCACCGACTCTCTCAAACAAAGAGAACAGCCTGTGTAAAGAGTGCTAAACACTGAGGATACACTGGCACCAAAACCCTCTTCCTCGCTCTACTCCATCATTTACAGTGGAGGAGGGAAGAGCAGCTTTCTTACTGGTTTAACTGGCTACAAGGGAGCACTAAATGCCACCTTGGAATAGATAATTGGTATAGTGTGTAATTATTAAAGGTCCAGTGTGTAACATTTAGGAGGATCTATTGGCAGAAATGGAATATAATACCCATAGGTATGTTTTCATCAGTGTATAATAATCTGAATATAGGAATCGTTGTGTTTTTGTTACCTTAGAATGAGCCGCTTTTCTCTGCAGATGCCGTCCGTGGAGTCTGCAATATTTCTACTATGAATGTCATGAGAACCGATACTTCAGAACCAAGTCGATGCTAAAGTTCTGAAAAACGTGACGGTTTTTCTACAGTTCTGCAGATAAGGGGGTTTGAATTCCTGACAGAGCACCTCCTGTACAGTCTAGCCACAATTGCACGTGCTCTGCAGAGAAACACAAAGACAGGCACTCTCTCTAAGCACACTTTACACACTTGATAGGCCGTCCTCATTCCAAGGTCGTCAGAAACAGTTGCGAGTGGTGGCCAGTTAGTTGCAATCTGCAACTTCACCACAAGATGCCGCTTTATTCTACACACTGGTCCTTAAACCGTGGCAATCTATAACTAATTAAATGTTCACTGAAACAAGTTATGAAACCAACTTGTATAATCCATTTAGAACAACCTTACTAATAGGCTCCAGTCTCATGGAATATAATAGTAGAAAAAAAAAAGTGGTGTCCTAAAAAGAAGGATTTTACTCTGAGCCGTTTGTTTGTTTGGCTGCAAACATCTCAGCAGTGGAGGTGAAAAAAAATTCCTGTTTCAGACTGCTAGTCAGCCATCTGAGCGTTTCACATAATTACTTTCACTTTGTTTCCAGCACAAAAACGTACCAACTAATTGTGTAACCTGGGTCAAACCGGTATTCCCCCACCTTTTCGTTAGTGTGTCTAACCTAGTCAGCCAGTTAGCTTCTGTGTGCAGAGTGAGATCCGTGCTGGAGCCACAAACTCCCTACTGTCTGGATGCTCATTAAACTTGTATGAATACTCAGGCTGGCAGCCCCTTGCCAGCCCGTCTGTCTGTACTTGCCTCTTGTCTGGCTGTCTGTCTCACTGGTGCATTATATTAGTGGAGCAATCTTTCCGAAGAAGTTACCTTTAATGCTGCCAGGCAGCGAATACATTTATCAGCCCTGGCAGTAATCAGTTTAGGCTACACACTGGCATACGTACTGGAGAGAACGCAGGGGAAATCAATACAAATGCTTCGTACCACTGAGCCTGTGTAATGTATGAAGACAGACAGATGATCTAATACAGCAGAAATAGAGTGGTGCTATAGGAAGGATATCTATCCAAACAGCAGTAAGAAGAGAATGACACTGAACAGATGAGTCACAGCAGCACACTAGACTCAGCTTCTATTTCTGTGTATCATTAATGTAATCTCAAAGTTTAGTAGGGGGGACACTTCACACTGTGCTCCCAGAAACTGGAATTTTGGAAAAGCAGTGCGGCCTTCTGTTAAATCCACCCATCTGAACCAAATTACCCCCATTCCAACTTCTCAATACATACATTCCTGGCTAAACTTGTCATGACTGATGCTTATAATGAAGTTATTATTGGGGGGAAAATTTCTGTATGGATCCGTATGGCTCAGAGGTTAGGGTAAAAGGTTGCAACTATACTTTCAGTGAGACAAGGTTAAAGGCTTGCCCGTGTGTCATAGAGAAATGTAAGGCAACAAGTGAGTGCATACTGTTGACACACACACACACACAATCATATAATGCAGCCAGGCTGATCAGGTGCACTGTTTCGAGGCCATACACTGTGTGAAAAGTGGAAAAAATGCGTCTTGTGCCAC